TCCTTATTCAATTGATGCTTGTATTGATCTTATTTCAAGTTAATTCTGCTGAAACATAGATTTTATCCTAAACTGATTCTTTGGTGGTGCTCTCTTGTTAAGTTTGGTTTATTCTTGTTCAGATAACATTGAAAGTCATGAGAAGCAAGAACACAGAGAGTCTCAAATTTCTCCAATAAGCAATTCTGAATCAATAGCTACAAATCTAGCCTACACAGAACAGCTTCCTCACTCCATGGTAAAACATCTCTCAATGAACCGAAACCAGAACTATATGTTTTGTTTAGTTTCTTGCAACTCTCTTATCTTTGTCTATCACATATCTCTTGGTCAATGATAAGATTCTGTCAATACTTAACTTAAGATCCCTTTCGTTTCGAAGAGAGTTGCTCGTTATGTGTAGCCTTAGACCTTCTAGTTGATAAAATTGTATGTTTAACAACTTGTTGACGCCGTTACTATCAGCTTTCTGAATCCTCACACAATAGAGAAGTAACCTTTTCCCATTTTTGTGTTTGTTTGTCTTCTAAATTGAAGGCACCTGGACACTATCCGTATCCAGATCCCTACTACCGAAGCATCTTTGCACCGCCTTGTCACACACAGGCGTATCTTCCTTTGGTGGGGTATTGTGTATTACTCAGTACATTGCTATTCGTATCCAGATCTCTACTACAGATATTTGCACCGCCTTGTGACACAACCTTATCCCCCTTTGGCGGGTATTATGTATTACTCAGTACATTACTAAGATTTTTCTGATCTGGATAAATGTAATTTGACAGTAGGATTTGTGTTAACAGCTTAATACAAATCATTTCAGGGACATCTGCAGTTAATGGGGAATGCATCAACAAACTGTGCCTTTACCATCTGATGCAGTCGAGGTACCTGTTTTCGTCAACTCAAAGCAATACCATGGAATACTAAGGCGCATGCAGTCTAGAGCGAAACTCAAATCTCAGAATAAAGTTGTCAAGTCACAGAAAGGTAAAACAAAAGACTGCGTTTTATCTTTTATGAATTCTTGAAACTTTTAACTGCAAGTTTCATACATAGAGAAAAAGGCGCATGCTTATTCTGCCGGCATTGAAAAAGTTTGATAAGCTGGAAGTATTGTCCCTTGTGGATCTTTCTTCCATGAAGGGTCCTTTCTTAAGGGAATTTGTTACTGCTAGAGGCCAAGCCCTGAAGAATCTAATTCTGACCAATGTTGTGTATGCCTCTTGAATTTCTTTGTTTGATTCTGTCATATCGTTTTTCTTTATTTGGCTTTAGGAAATTAACTGACTCTTCTGTTGAAGTCATCTCTGCAAAATGTCCCAACTTAAGCGTGCTTGACCCTGGCTAACGTATGCAAGCTGACAAATTCGTCTCTGGGTTACCTTGCAAATGGCTGTCAAGCTCTGGAGAAATTTATTTTTTGGTCGCAACTCTTTCAGACGGGCCTTTACTAGAAGGTTACTGTCTCATGCAAATGTTTCTGTTATATTGGTGCAAAGATAGTGATATGATTTATGACCTCAAACTCTTGAATCTGTTGATACGATTTATGATCTCAAACTCTTGCATCAATAACTCTATTATTTTCTTAGCCAAAGATCCCAAATACAAAGAAAATGCAAACACAAAAGATAAACACTAGACTAAATAGATGTTCATGGAGTATATTCTCTCTTAACTTTTTGATCAAAACCCTTTTGATAATCTAGCCTGATGCATAACCTAACCAAAACCATGGTTACTTAGAAAGTAACCACAATTAACTCTTGTTACTTTAACCCACACCTAACAGATAGCCATTTATATATGGTAACACAGGCTGGTATATATAAGAACATGATTTGTGATTTGTAGGGATTTCGTATTTTCGTCTTGTAGTGTTACTTCGTTAGATGACTCTGCCAATATGTTGATCGTGGAGACGTTATCTGTTTTCTTAATTTTCAAATCGGTACACATAGTTATGTTGTTAACTTATTATGATCTGTGCGGTTTCTGCGTTGTATGTCAACGTTTAACAGATCTCTGTTTATAGCAATGAAGCTGTAGCTGCATTTATCACTTAATGACGTTAAAAAAGGTAAAAGAATGGGTCTGTGTCACCAATCCATAGACTCATGCTTAAGTCACACTAACACATTTTTGTTAATGATTTCAGGTTGGACATGACACTTGCTAAACGTTGAGAAAAGCTGCAGGTTTTGGATATATCATGGTGCCGAGACAATTCGTTAGGCTATATTGTCGATAACTGAAAGAATTGAAGCTCTTTGGATGCACTCAGGTAAGCAAAATCAAAATCCCAAGATCCCTAGTCTTATTTGCAAACAAGTGAACAAACTCTGAAAATGAAACCTATCTTCTCTTTTGTAGATCAGGATGTATTTGTTCCAGGTCACTCAAACCCTAATGTTAAGATCGAAACCAGTCTTCTTGTATACTTGATGAGCAACTGAATTGTTTCGATGTACATGAACAAGAAGAAGCCATGAGAACAACATTGAGCACAAGCGCTAATTTATAGCCGTAATAGAGAAGCGTGTTGTTCAGGAACTCAGCTATTTCAAAGATCCAACCAAGAAATGCTGAGTTGTTCTTTACTAGAAAGAGAAGAGGGATAACATACCTCTTTAATTTCAAAACTAATGAACAAAATATCACATGTTCGACCTATCTTTTAACTGCTGCTACAATACATATAGAAACAAATTAATCTTGTTCAAAAAACATAGAAAATAAACAAGTAAATAGATTATAGGTGGAATAATTAAAGCTGCACTAAACTTGGAGTATAAGAGCACACAAGTGGAAAACATTCATCGGATGTAGATTCTCGGAGATCGGCTTCTTTCAAGGTTCCATCCACTCCAATGATGTAAGCTACGTTGTGCTTGTGGTTCCACATATTTTCTTTGTCCTTGTCAACAACCACAGCGACTTTCTTCTCCTCGTCAATGAAGAAACTCGCTACGATAAACTGAAAACTATCGCAAGTGAGTGGTCTCATATTCACGTCTAGAACACTTTGGTGTTCCACGACACCGCGTTGGGCTCAATTTTAGTTGTAACCCATATCTCCAACTTTAATGTATCCTATTCTTGAAACAAAACCGCAAGCTGCTCTTCTCTAACACTAGATAGAGTCAAAGTATCTACTTCAAGTACATGCTCAATGGGCAGAGGCAAACGCGGCCCAAAACTCTCTTTTGTGAAATCAAAACAGATTAAGAAATTGTCGTCGAAGAAGTCTCTATTCTCTGAATACTTCTCTCGAGCAAACCAATATGTATTTCCCTTGAGAGAGACACCATGGATAGATTGATTTATCACCGTGTCTGGTGATGCATTGGCAAGAACCCTCCATGAATCAGATTTGAAGTCGTAGATTTTGTGCTCGAGCTTATCTTGGCAAGGATAATCAATAAAGCTCAAGATTTTGTGCGATTTGGTGCTCTTGTTGTATCCGAGAGCATGATTATACAAATCAAGACTGTCGAATTTATCTATAAACTCGATCCACCGGGTTTGCCCCGAATACAGGTTCCAAACGACAATCCTAGAGTAGTCTTTGATGACGCATAACAATAAACCGTCGTAATGAAAGACTTGACGTATATCGATTTGATTTGAATCGTCTAGGCTAATAAGTTTACCTTGATGATTTATACACGATTCAACGTTCGTCTTGTGAAGGTTGACGCTCATCAAATAAACCCTAAAATCCATCATCATGACCACCATAAACACATTTGCTTCGGCTGCTACTTTTGCCTGACCACCAAGGTGCTTCTTTGCAAATCTCCTACCTTTCGACGATAAAGTGTTCCACTTTTTGCAAGTTGATCGGATTCTTCTAAGAGATGTCAATGGAATTCTATGGAGCATCGCCTCTGCCAGATCCATTGGAAGATCGGACATCTTCGTCATTGTTTCAAGTTTCAACGAGGATCGATGTACCGCAAATAAGTTCAAGGTTAACCCTAGAGGAATTTTTTTATTTTTTTCCTTTCTCTGTAAGACACACCGTCATCCGTTATACTATCTAGAGAATACATGCCCTTATTGGATAGCATATTAGTGGCCTTGATGCTTTTTATAAGTTAATTAATCA